TCTCCTCGTTGAGCGTGCCAAACTTGCTAATTTAACTACTTTCACCCATTTTCTCTTTATATACATTTTTCTCTAAGTTCTATTTTCTTCTTGGTTAAAAGTTCTCATAGCATTTATCTATATCTGGGCGTCTTAAAATAATTTCGTGTCTTAAAATACATTCAAACTTAGTTGTATACACATTTATTTATAAAGTAAACATTCATTCAAAACATCGAATTCACACGGATTGCTGATAAATCTCCATTTCGAGGCACATAATTTTTTGTTTATAACGCACATAAACAATGATTACACTTCAATTATTCGATAACTAATTTATTGCCGAGATAATATTATTTTAGTTTCACAAAGAACGTTAGCGATCTGAGATGTTTTTACATGAAAAACTTTTCCAAGTTACCAAAATTAAGATTCATCGTCACGGTTGTGTGTTTGACTCTGTGCTCATTTGTATACAATATTGTTCTATCTGCTGTCGTAAGAAAAAACTTGGCAAAAAAAATATAGACTTGTATTTTGAAATAAACCCAAGTGTCCTTAGCTGGTTAATACATCAATTAAGGAAATTTGTTTTAAAACATTTTGAAGTTTTTCAAGGAAGACAGGGGTAATAAAATTTTTGGCAAAGAACTGTATCAGTTCATAAAATTCTTATTTCTTGGTTTTATTGTTTTAGATTATGATAGTTCGCACACATTTTGAAGATGTTGGTTGATTTTTTATCCCAGTTGTTTGATATTGAAAATTTTATAAATATTGGAACTGTGACATTATGTGTGATTATTTATAGTTATATTGGTTCCTGTGTTGAATGAAAAATTTGATAGTACAATTTTACGTTCTAAAGTGTGTTTCGTTGATATGTTTGTATAATGGTACGCTATTTATAAAATTGTATGCAGTTGTGACAGAAAATTTTAGAAAAAGAGTTCTTAGATTCAATCATCTACTTGAAATAAATATTTCAAATCCTTTCAATGTTTTTAAAATAAATTTAGAAATTTAATTGAATCTCTTCAAATTTCAGAAAAATTGTTAAAGACAAATTTTTCTATATATGGTTTCATAAAGTTCATTCTTCAAATCTACAAATAATTTTACAACTTCAACGAGGAATGAACGCTTAATAAAATAAATGAAAAATTAACACAAACTTCCATAAATAATTTTTTATGATAACGCAACGAAGTTTGTCTAAAATTTGAATGTAGATGAATCTATTTAAACAAATTATTTTAAAAAATAGCGATTTTTAATTATATGTGATGCGTGTTCTGGAATTATTTCAATTTTTATTAACGTTTTCGCCGTGACACAAAATAATATACATAGCTTGATAATTTTTATTTCAACATAATATTTTATTCAAATAAATTTGAAAATAATCCGTGATAAATTTTATCAAAAAGAAAATGATGAACAAAATCGTTCTAACTTGTCTAATGTTCTGGTTAATCCTTTACCAAAACAGCATAAGATAAGCCGAAAAGTTTATACTTTATTTAACAAACAATCCTTGTACATGGTTTGAAATAAAATTTTCTACCAAGAAAAGACAATTTTTAATTTAAATACATTTTCCAGTTATATCGTCGTAAGGATGTCTGCCAGTGAGCCAGCCAGCGAAGGAAAACATGCAGAAGGAAGCCACGGAATATATCCTCTATGTGTCACTCTGTCACGTGCTCTATACAATATACGTCCACAACAACTGCAACGACAACAATAATAACAGTGATCACAACAAAATGGATTGATGGATGGATGGATGGATGGATGGACGGATGGACGGATGGACGGATGGACGGACAACGGACGACGGATGGATGGATGGATGGATGAATGGATGGATAAATGGATGGATGGATGGATAAATGGATGGATGAATGGATGAATGGATGGATAGATGGATGGATGGATGGATGGATGGATGGATGGATGGATAAATGGATGGATGGAAGGACGGACGGACGGACGACGAACGGACGGACGGACGGATGGATGGATGGGTGGATGGAACGACAGTTTGTTGAAGCTTCCTAAAAATCCTTCATCATCATCGTCGTCGTCATTATCATCTTAACCGTATTCGTAGCGGTCATAGCAAATTCATCATTTCATTATCCTTATGATCATTCTTATTATCGTCATTTTCATCCTCCTCCTCCTCATCATCATCTTCATCATCATCATCATCATCATCATCATCATCATCATCACCATTCTCGGCTCGGTCTCGTTGTTTCTACTGTTATGTTTAAAAGCATAGCAGCCTTACACACACACACACACACACACACACACACACACACACACACACACACACACACACACAACACACACTTACAGACACAGACGCGCATACACATGCACACAGACTTTTCATTCATATGTGAATATGGCACGCAGTTACACGCCTTGCTTATATAATATATCAGCATGCATAATAATGACTGTCTTTTAATAAATTTTCTCTTCCGTGCTTTCCCCTCTCGTGCTACGATGTTGCCAGGATATTGTTGCTAAGATGGGATTGTTGTTGTTGCTGTAGTTTTGTTGTTGTTGTTTTTGTTGTCGTTGTTGTTATTGCTGCTGTATTAGTGTTATTTTGTTTTTGGTGTTGTGGCAATGTTATCCTGTTGTGGTTTTTGTCGATGGTTTTATATTGTATACGTTGTATTTGTTGTTGTTGCTATGTTATTGTTAATATGTTGTTGTTTGTTTTGTTAATGTTTTAGATGTGATATTGTTATTGCATAACAATTCAAACACATTCGCTATTGAAGATAAATGTTAACGAATTTGTATTTGCCGTGCCTAATTTTGCACACTCTGTAACTCTTACTACATCGTTGTTTTTTCTTAAAAAAATAATTTGACGCTTCTTTCTTGCCAAATTGTTTTTTGCCGAAGATTTTTGTGTTGTTTTTTTGTTGTTGTGATGGCTATGTAGCTAATATATATATATATGTTGTTGTTTTGGTTGAGTTTTGGCATATTGTTTTGGTTTAGCTGCTGAAGTTGTTGTTGCTGCTTTTGCATTGTTGTTGAGTCTATGGTTTTTACAGTTGTTGCCATTTTTTTTCATTATTGTTGTTGTTGTTATTGTTCTGTTGATGTTATTTTACTCTGCTGTTGCAAAGCTGTTATACTCTCTCTTTCTCTCTCTCTCTTTCTTTCTTTTTTTTCTCTCTCTCTCTCGCTCTCTCTTGACAGTTCTCGTAAACAATGCAAAGTTCATCACATATTTATGTGTGGTTCTTTTTATGTGCACTTTTATGTAAGTTTACGATTGTGGAAAGCATTTGTTATTATACACATATATACAATACACACACTCATGTATTTCACATATCATGCTTATGATTCTACGCACGCACACACGCACACACACACAAACAAGCCAACACACACATGCACACAGTTGCAGTAAAATGAAGATTTTTGTGTGGCTAAAATAATTATTCCTGGCACAAACGATCAAGCGTGAACTTTAATAATTTGTCAGCATCATTTAGTTGAAGTCATCAAGTCGTTTCATAAATATATCCTAACAACAAAAACATAACCCACCTGCAACGAATGTCTTTTTAAAAGTGTCATCAATATAACATACATTATAATGTATGTATGTTATACATTATAATGTATGTTACACATTATAATGTATGTATGCATGTATGTATGTTATGTACGGAGAGATGTGCGGTGCATGCAACCTGGAATGAACACTTAAGATAACGATCTTTTGATGTCAGTTGGAGATGCATGTTAGTATTGCATCGAAGAGGAAAGGAAAAGTACCAAGGTCCATCTGTCAATCTATCTATCCCTAATTCTACAACCACTGATGGTTAAGCAAACAAAGAATGACAACCGTGATGACATCTTTCGACAAGTATTGACTCTATATAAAAGTGAATACTTGAAAAATATTGTAGATCAGATGGTGTTTCCAAATGAAAGATTTATTTCAATTTTTATTTAATTTAAATGGCTCTTTTAAAATTTTCGTAAATTTACATTTATACGGTTTCAAAAACTTGATAAAAAGCATTCTTCAACAATTTGCTTTTTTAATAAGAGATGAAAACTATTTTCAAAACAATTTGTGAGAGCTAATATGAAAAAATGCTCCTTTTGACATTTTGGGGTTATTGCAAGTTTTTATTTTTCTGAAATTTTGTAATTTTTTCATTCAACTTAGTGTAAACAAATTCCTTAACAGAAATTTGTTTGCATTTTTTATCAAAATTTCAAATTCAAAAAAATTGTTCAGACAGCCACGACCAGCCGAATTGACAAGTGTGAACCAAAACAAACAGCAAACATTAGATTGATCCCATGAATGAAATTTTCAAAAAATTTTGCAACGAATAAGCAGAGGCACAGAGCTGAGAACACATAACAACGCAGCACACTTCTCTGACGTCGCTATGGCGTTGCAGGCAGAGAATGTAAGCATGTAATGTAAGCATGTAACGTAAGAATGTAATGTTTCACCGATGCTGGTATTGATGCACATACAAAAATATTGCCTATAATTTCAATTAATATAATGATAAAGGAGAAAAAAGATTGTTGATAATGATGAGGAAGCATTTTTGATGATTGTAGGTTGTTGACGATAACAACGACGATGATAGATTGATGATGTTGCAGATGATGATGTCTTAGACGATGATTAAGTGGACGGTCCGCATTCATTCGTCTGTCGTGTCTCAACCACATCATCATCGTCATCGCGCACCTTTTTATGATGTCATTATATTCGCACCGCTGGGCTAATGTATAAATTAAGCATTTTCTTGTCCTCTTCGCATCATTCTCGCTCATTTATAGTCCATCTTGTTTACATGCAACGCATGAATAATTCTACCTTTGAGGTACTTTTCACGTGATGCAAGCCTAATATGAAGAAAACTAATTAATGAGCGCTTGAAATGCATCACCTCGAAACGAGACTGACGAACGAACAGACCCCGTTACGCCCGGAAGCAAAACGTTAAAAGCGTAAAATATTAAATCACGAGAATTGGGTTGTCTTAAATCTTTAATTAATTTTTTTTTCTCAAGTTAGAAGTTAAACCTGATAGCAAAAAGTTGGCAACTTCATTCAAGTGACATGATTATATAAGGATTGGTGCAAAATTTGAAGTGAGTTTAATAAGAAAATATTATTAAGTGACCATTTGCACATCAGGTTACTTATAACTGAGGTATTGAATCACATAATTTATTTTTCAGTTAATACGAAGTTTTTGTAGAGAAAACTAACAAAAAAAACACAGTACTTCAATTATTTTATCTCAATAAAAGGTACCCAAAGTTATTCCAATTGGTTTGATCAAAATATATAAAAGTTAAATGACCAAATAATCCAGTCAGTGAAACGACTTATTTGCTCACAAATCACAATTTGTCAGCACCCATCCCCCCCATCCATAAATGGACAGGTCTGTTGGAATGCAATGGCGACATCTTCCACCTAACGTCTTCTATCCCTACTCCTGCTCCTCGATCTCCTCCTCCGGCGGTCCCTTTCATGAGTCCCTCTCCTTGTAGGTGGTGATCTAGATCTGGATCTGTTCAGTTTGTAACATAATTATTCACAGGCTGATTTTTATAATAGCAGTTTGGTGACCGTCAATGTTGTAGTCAAGTCTAACATTTTTACACGTTGAAATTTAAAATCTATTATAGAAAAGTGAGATGTTCTCGTATAATAAGCAAACACGTTTGGAAGACACTGCCTAGATAGTTAAAAGATCGTTTTAAATAACAAAAAAATAAATTGCATTGAATTTTATCTTTGTACTTGCAAAAATGGCAGAAAGGACCTCAAATATATCAACAATTTATATGTTTAGAGCCAAAACACTCCTCTACATAGAACACAAAATGATAGAAACCTTCTTTTGCTTCTTCCATAGAGTTCTCTTCTCAGTTCTCTTGAGATTGGTTTCAAATGCATGAAATTGCAGAATCCTCCCCTAGTGCACTCACTGTAAATATTTGTGTGAATATTAGAAGCACATGGCATGTACTAAACAAGAATTATACAAAAAAAATTGTTCACTGGTTGCTTCCTCAAAATCAGTGACAAATGCTCGTCCAAAAAATTTGAAAGGAAATAAAAAGATTTTTAAATAATGAACGGGATACGTTACTCACCCTAGTTCATACTGCCTACAGCAAGCCTCTCTGAAATCAGTGACTGGAGACAACTCGGCTGTGATTGGTCGCCCGTTGAACCAACGATTGTTCAGATCTGCCACTGCCCTCTCTGCTATTTCTTCACTTTCAAACTTTCAAGAACATCATTAGTTTATCAATATTGATCACACATGCAGTGACATAATTGAATATCTAGCAAATGTTAACTGATGCAGCAACAACAATGACATGGCGTGGATGTTTATAACATTTTTCTCAATTAAATTTTTATTATAAGCATTCAAAAAAAAGATCTACTTCCAAATGGAACAATAAGCACTCTGACATGAAAATATTTCAAATACTACCTTAACATACACATTTCCTAGGAGGTGGTCTCCTAAATTGTCACAGACGTTCATCTCTTCTATTCTCCCATACTGGAATGAAAGATTAATTGGATTAATTTTACGGACAAATATTTCTCATTACAAGAGTCATGAATTGTAACATACCCTACTGTTGCGGCTATAAAATAAAGGATAAGTTAACGTAAGAACAAAGATACGTGACATTTATGAAAGATCAAGTGAAAATAATGATTAAAACCTCAAAAATATCAATTACTCAAAAAACTAGGATGAATCGATGTATATATTCAATTGAAAAATGTTTATACATAAAAATAACTTCTCAACCTTTTCCTCGAGTTCAGTGAAAACTTCTTCAAAAAAGTTGTCATATTCTTCTTGATTTTGTGCCTCCTCAATGCCACCTAAAATGATTTATGTTACATAAGAAACGTAGTAGCCTATCATTCATTACAAATTATTGTGGTAAAAAGATTTACAAATGAAACAAAATGAAAAGAAAAAATTTCATTTGCAGTGGTGCACCCGTGTACTATTGACGGAGAACTTGATCAACATCAATTCAAATAATCACCAGAAAGCCACAAAGCACTTGCCTCCATTTAAAAATTATGGTGTCAAAACTTTCTAATCGACTGAGTACCTAATCTGGTATCAGTGCAAGAAAATGATTCTTGTTACAATAACATTTTGGTTTTGTTATTTTACACCCAGATTTTAACAGATTTTAAATTAAAACAATTTTTTGAAAACTATCAAAACACATACCTGGACTTTATTGACATTAATGAACAGCACTAGTAGTTCAAAACTAAAGTGGCACACTAAAGAAATTAGAAGTGACAAAAGTTGAATCAATGAAAATACAAACTGATGGAGTTATCTGGTCCTCCAGTGCCTGCTTGGGTGGCAGTGTTCAGTGGATTGTTGTAAAGACTCTGCAACAAAACAGTCTGACTGAAGGTTGGTTTGTTGTGGAGACGAGAGCACCTATCTCCATGTCGGCAGGCTCCAATCTTGAAAAAGAAAGAACAATTGACCCTGCAAGTAAAATATTTTTAATCAGTTTATATTATTAACATTAAACATGAATCCCAAATTAATATTATCAATTTTATTTTATTAGTATTTAATAAGTTAACATTATTTTCAAATTGAGAAAATTCCCAAGCATTCTAACTAAACTGAACTGAACACCAGCCTACTAGATAAAAAATTATCATTGAGAAAAAATTTATTTATTAAGCCTACTTGTCTTTTTCAGTGCCGAATATTGAAGCTAAGTACTCCGCCATAGATCGACTTTCTATGACTTAGACGATAAAAATCAGATAAAAACCTTTTGGGTAATGCCTGTTACTACTACTGTTTTTATACAAACATGGAGGGAGACCAAAGACAAATGTTTAGGTGATGTTTAGACAAATCACTCATTCCATAGATATTTGATGTGTGCAGAGAAGACAGAAACAAGGAAACCTCCGGGAACATAATTTCTAATTATATAAAAAACCAATTTGTTAAATTTTGTTGTAGCTAAAATATTGTACTTGTAATTTATAAAGTTTGCTGATAATTTAAAAAATTTAAAATTAATGTAAAATCTCTTGATAGTGCGTAAAATTTGTTTGAAATTCACGTTGAATAAATTCCTTACAGGAGTATTCAAACGTAAAGTTAATAAAGCAATCGAAGCTGTCAATTAAGTCATAAATTAATTAAATAATTTAAAATATAATTATATAATTAATTTTTTAAAAGATTAGCTACAAACTATATAAAACGATACAAATTGTATGATTAATTTACTTTCTTCATGATTGCACGTGAGCTCAAATTTTACATAATAAAAATTTAAATGTCTATGTTTAAAATAAAATTTTGATTTCGATTTTTTAGCCGATCCTGAGGTTGAAAATATATTTATTTATTTGTTGGCGTCCGTATTTTTTCAGCGCAAACTAAAAACATGGGTGAAATCAGCGATGTCTATAAATTGTGGAGAATTCGAAAAACTATATATGAGGTTATTTTTCAATTTTAGAGTTTTTATTTTTTATCGCCCATGTTACATGTAGTATGCAATGCAAGTATGGTGTGCTGGGCTGATGGTGTCTGATGTGCCACCAATAACATAAGCAGATTTACATTGAGCCAAATTATATTATGAAGAACTGTTAAAATTGGTATGACATTGTGTCATTGTATGTTACTTTATACAACTTGCAGATGACCGTGTAATAAACAACTGGGTTTTTGATTGATAACTTTTTTATTTAATTATTTTTTTTATATGTCATTACTATTTAAATTAAACTTCTAACTTCTTCTTCAGATGTGCAATGATCGAGGTTATAGAGTGACAGATGCAGAGTTGAATGAGCCTCTCCAAACTTTTCAATCTTATTACGACCAGTCAGTTTGTTTTGTATACTAATATATACCTGTTAATTATGTTTCATATTTTTATTTTACACAGTTAATCTCTTAAAAGTCTGTCCATTTTTTAAACAACATAGCAGTATATCATATAAATATAGCACTTTGTGTGTGACTAGTCAATTTTTAAAATGTTACCCATGCAGGCTACCTTCAAAGACAGAGCAGACAATGATATTTAAACATTCAACTAATTCAGCAGGTTCGTCAATTCATTTTAATTTTTATTCAATTTTTCCAAATTTTAATTTTTACATTCCTAATTTTTTTTTTCAACTCTGGCCTAAATATTTTTTAAAACGTTATAATTTACTATATTGATTTGGTACTGATGGAGAAGTTTTGAAAAATAAATTGATAGACTCTCTAATGGTTTTCTTTGGTGGGGCTGAGAAGATATCTGGGGTGATGGCTAAGAATTTCATGGCCAGGATGTTGGAAGAAAAGTGTGGGAGAGCGTTGTTGATCATTTCCAATGTTAAAGCGATGACCTCAATTGCAAAAAAGGTGCTTGTCAATTTTTCTTTCTTTATATTTTTTGTTTTATTTTGTTATCTTGTTTATTTTTGTTCTTTATCTAGTTTTAATTTTTCATTAATTAATTTTTCATTTATGTTGTTCCAATTTTACATTGTTCATATATAAAACTTCTCTTTATTTTAAGTTACGTCTTTCTTAAAACTACATGACCAAATAATTTCTACAGTTGAACTTAAAAATAATTTTCATCTGATACATGCTCACTAAATACTTTCTTAAGTATTTTTTCATAAATTTTACAAATATTCCAATCTAGATTTTTTAAAAATATATTATTTATAATAAATTTTCACGAATATTCTCATTTAAAGTTAAAAAAAATCACATAGTATATAAAACGATTTTTTCAAAAATACAGGATATTGAAGAGGCGGTCCCAACATACAACATTGATGTCTTCACCGAAATAGAACTCCTCGTCAATGTCACCAGACATAAGGTCAGGGTTAGGCTATCTCTCTTGATGGTGATGGTGAAATGTATGATGGTGATGGTGAAATGTATGATGGTGATGGTGAAATGTATGATGGTGATGGTGAAATGTATGATGGTGATGGTGAAATGCATTATGGTGATGATGAAAAGATGACGACGATTGTATTATTCATAGTGGTGAAAATTGTAAAATGAGAAAATTTATGCCAATGATGAATCCTTTGATGTCGAATATGATGATTTTTGTGATAATTTGTTTCATGTATTGCCTTTGCACATTTTTATGTCATTGACTTGCCTACTGATTCATTGTTGATCACTTCAATTTTATCCTGATCATTTTTATTTTAGTAATTTTTTTTTGGTCAGTTTTATTCATTTGAGGTGTTTTCTGGTCTAACTTTTCGTTTCTTTTCTATTTATTTATTATTAAATTGATTAATTAATTGATTAATTAGAATAAATTTATTCTTAACTCCAGCTGGTACCTCAACATATTCTCTTATCACAAGAGGAAGCAGCTAAAGTCTTAGAAAAATAGTTATTGTGACTTTTTTGTGGTTTTTTTCTAATTAAATAGCGCTCATATATTAAATAAAATAATTTGTTTAATTGATTAATTAACATTGAATAACATTAAATGGCATGACCAAATGATCAATTACATTAATTAACTTGAAAACAGTAAAGCCAAAGACCACCATCTGCCTCGTATGCTCTCTTCCGATCCCATTGCTCGATACTATGGCATGAAAAAAGGACAGGTCAACCCTTTTGTTTAGAGCTTTTCTAAATTTCATTACATACTTAACATACCTTGCTGAATTAAATTTGTACTGTTAATTTTCAAGTAATTTTTATCATTTTTTTTTTAATTTTATGTAGTTGGATTAATAAAGTTTAGTCATATTAATTTATTTGCATGTAGTTAATATCACATAATGCGTTAATTTTTAATTTATTTTTCTGGCCTAAATTTAATTTTCAAATTTTGTTCTCTTTGCAGATAGTGAAAATTATAAGGAAGAGTGAGACAGCCGGGGTGTATGTCACATACAGAGTTGTTCTCTAGTTGTTGGCACCTTGCCTCTATTGCCTTCTTGCTCGTTCTATTCTGGCTTCTGTGATACTTTCCACGTTGTGTTATGTCATGTTACTATTACTAACAATGTTTGACATTTATTTAGTTTCTCATTGCACATGTATGTAATTCGACTGTCTTACCTATTGAATTATAGTTCTTGTATATAAAACATTTATCATTAACTGACCTAGGGCTATGTTAGGCTATTATTATTTACTGATATTAAATATACCTAGGTTATTTACACGTTGTTACAGTTTACCTGCTTGACAATGCACACTCGAGTTTTATCATCATCATTATTATTATTATTCATTTTATGTCATGGTTAGGTATCTTTGTAATTGTCGAATATCAAGTCATTATGCCGATGCAGTATTTCTCATGGCCGTCGAGCATGTGATTTGATGTATCGTGCCTATATATGAATATGTATGTGTGTGTATGTATCTACCGTGTATAAATGTAAATATGTATGTGTGTATATATGTAAATATATATATATATATATATATATATATCTTTTCTCAATGAATAAAAAAACTATATAAATACGTACTTTGTTTATGCTTATCAACCAGTCTTCGTAATTATTTTAAAATTGGGTAATTATATTATACTATTGTGTTTTTTCTCGTATCTGTTATATTTATCTTAAATTTTTGTGAACGTGGTGTAGCTATATATATATATATATATATATATATATATATATCGTCTGTTATTCTGTAGAGATGACAATACAGAAGAATTCCGGATCCAATATTTTTCTTGCATTGGGATGCAATCAGGTTTGATTGATTGGCGAGCGCCTCTTCCTTAATCCTCATCTTCGCTTTTTCGACACGCTTTCTCGTCCTTCCTTTGAGCTGTTTCGTTGACATTTTCACTGAAATGTTTATCGGTGGGCGAGTGCAGTATTTGCATATACCTACATTATTCATAAAACAAAAGAAGTCATTTCGTCTAATCCAAATTAACCTTGACGATCTATCGATATTCAAATCGTGAAAGTTATAGATGAAAGATGAAAAGATAGATGGGAGGTTAAAATAGTTTCAAAAATTTCTTATGTCGTTAGTTTTACTAGATTATTATCGAAAACGTAAGAAGTGTGTTTTCATCGGAATTCTAATGTGATGTTTAAATTATTTGAAGCCAACTACCTACCAACCAACCTGCCTACCTACCAACCAACCTGCCTGCCTACCAACCAACCTGCCTGCCTTACAGCTTACGAAATAATATTTCTAAATGCTTTGTGATGAGATGCCGTGTAATTAACGCCAATGTATTAATAGCAGTACAATATTCATGAGAAAGTTGAAGAATTCAAATAATGGCTGAGCTTGTCACATTTTTATGTGTGTGTGTTGTTTGTGTGTAGTGAATGTTTGTTTGTAGGTTGTGCTGCGTGTGTGTATGTTCTGATGATTGCGTGTGTCTATGTGTGCGTGTGTGAGTGTTTTGTGTGTGTAATTGTAATGTATCAAATGCATGTGTGCCTGTAGTTTAGTTATGATTGAAGCGATCATCGTTCAAATGTTCAAATATTAATTATTTTTCTTGTTTTATTGTCATTTTATGGCAATGTACTCACTTACTCAGTAATTATTTAATGCTTGAATTTTGATCGTTGGAGCAATGAATGTTGTTTTATATTTTGTCCATCAGCTGATATGCGAAAAAGTTGAACATGTCATGCAGAATTAATTTTCTTTTTGGAAGTTAGCGGAACAGCATACCGGAAGACAGGGACTTCTCACGTTTGACTGGACGAAAAAAATAAACCTGATTGTTGCTGAAATTCAGAAATATGGTAAATTGGGAAATTTTTTTCAGATCAATAAACAGACGTAAATCTCTCGTAAATAAAAAAATCACAAAACTTTTCTAAAACAATAAATAAGCAATAGCTCTTTAAGCTCTCTGGCTCTCCGTGCATGACAAAATCATCCATAAATTTTGAATCAAGAAAAATGCGTTCCGGGCCACATGTGAATGTTCTAAACGACGTCCATCTCCAGCTTCACAAATGGGGTTTGTAAATAAAAACTTAAAACTTTTTTTATTGTTCAATAATATTTTTCAGCAGTGAGATAGCGCAGTGGATACGACGCCTGGTCCAGCAAAGAACGGGTATCGAATTCGAAGAAATACCTGATTCGTCGAATCTTGGCTACTCACATTTGCATGGGTACGTATATTACCTACGACGCATGTTTTTGTTGCTGATGATTGTTTGATACCTCTGATCAATGCTACGAAAGAGTCTTCAAAAAAGTAGTACAGTTTCTATCATATGCTTGTACGTACATGTTTATATTATATTACATACATGCGTGATACTTCAATTGATTATAACATCAAACAACAAACTATCTGAAATAAAAACTTTCTTACTTCTCATTGCCATCATTTAGTAGAGAATGAACATACATGTATTCCAGCATTACAATACAATACATCTTCCTACGCTTTATCGTTGTATATGGTACCTTCACGTAACGAACATTCATATAATACAAACAGCCGATCTAATAGTGATGTACACAATACATACATACATAAAATACAATGCATACATACATATATACGCACATACACACATACATACATACATACATACATACATGCATACATACATATATAAATACATACATACATACATACATACATACATACATACATACATACATACATACATACATACATACATACATACATACATACATACATACATACATACATGCATACATACATACATACACACATGCACAAACACACACATACGTATATATATATATTTATATATATATATACATACATTTATACAAAGCATGCATACATACTTAAACATATTTGCTTGTACCGTGTTGATGTTTGTAAATGCTCAATGCATATAAAAGCGATGCCAAAGTTGAATTAAACGTCGTGTTTATGCGTCGTGCGTGGCAAACTTGTTCACCTGTATTTGTTCACTCGTTTGTTCGCTTTCATCTTGATGAGCATTGTTATAAACGTTTTTGATTTGTTTATGTTTATTCTTGTGAAAATCGTCTCGGTTAAATGTTGATATTGACGCTAACTAAACATGTGATAAACTAAACATAAGATGGTTAAATGACGCTCTTCCATCCATTTGCTTGGCTTCAAACGAATTCATTACCATCTAAAAAAAATGACGTTTGATATTTTCAAACTCCAAAACTAACATTAACATTGAATTATTGGGAAATAATATATAGATAAATAATAATAAATAAAAATAAATAACAACTCAATAAAATAAGAAATGGATAGCAGACTGAAGATGATGACGCTGGTCTCGATGGTCAGTCTTCTACTCGGGAACATTGATGCCCTCATACAGGCCAGAAAACTCAGATCAGGTCAGTGTGTGTGTGTACGCTCTTCTCCTATTTCGAATAGGAGGTTATTCAAATTCAAAGTTTATCCGACTAACTGTGTGTTTGTAGTTTTCTAATTAGTAACGCGCTAATACGGTTGTACTGTATTGTAATATAATAATATATAATAATAAGAATAATATATAATAATAATGTTAGTTATATAGGAAGTGATGATAGTATCGATTATTATGATATTATTATTTTTATGTTTAGTACATACCTTAATTGATCGCAACAAATTATTGAAATAAAACATTTCATTAACTGACCGCAAAACAAAAGCCCAAATACATGATTGATGATAACGATGACGATAGTACTGATGATGATGATGATGATGATGACGACGATGTTGAGGATGATGGCATGGCGGTGATGGTGGTAATGATTGTGAGATATAATAGCAGCGATGATGATGATGACGATATTGATGATGGTGATGATGATAATGATAACCGGTATGTCGAGGTCGGAAGAAAAATATCCGATTCCAACAAAAATCGCCAACCAACTCCGACTCTATGATGACAACAATGATGATGACGATGCTGATGAAGACGACGACGATGATGATGATGATGGTGGTGGTGATGATGATGATGTTGGTAATGATGATGATGAATGATGGTGATAATAACAACGATGATGGTGATGATGTGATAACAATGATGACGATGATGATGACGATGATGGTGATGATGATGACGATGATGGTGATGATGATGACGATGATGGTGATGATGATGACGATGATGGTGATGATGATGATGACTTTATATAGAGCGCGTCTCTCAACGTATAATTTCGTAAACACGTCAGGGAGGGTAATTTGAGATATTGAAGAACAAAATAATAATAATAATAATTATTATTATTATTATTGTTGTTGTTGTTATAAAAATAATACTAATTATTATTATTATTATAAAAATAATAATAATAATTGTAATAACTTAAATATTTTATTGTTGATTTTTGAAATAATAAAAATAATTATGATAATATAATAATATTGATGATAATGATAATAACATTGGGCATCAATGCAAACACGTACAAATTTTCACTCAACACACAAATCTAAAGAATGAATGAATAAATGAATGAATAAATAAATGAATGAATGAATGAACGAACGAATGCATGAGTGAATGAATGATTGAACACATGCATGTAAGCACAAACTTAACTCGCGTATAAAACACACAAAAAATGTATGCCTTATACCAAAGATTTCAAAATAACGCCATAGATCTCTAAATAATAATACCACCATTATACGAAAGTTCATGGCTTTTACATACACTAAACAAACATGCACCTTACAGCGACTGCACGCACACACAACAACACACGCACACACAGCAACACACGCACACACAAACACACACACGCACACGTCTGCGTACAAACACATGTGCACAGAAAACCACAACATCATGTAGACATATTACAGACAACATGCACACGCACACATACATACAACAACACACACAAACACACACATCAGCACTTACACACACACACACACAAACAAACAAACACACTTACTGATGTATGCATACGCAACATAAA